GTATTAATATACTCAAGAGAAATCTCATTAGTTTTCTATCTGTTCTCTTGAAAAATGATATTTTATATCAATATGCTTTGCTCTTTTATGACATGAGGGATTATTTGCATGCTAATACAGCCTTGGTTGTCTTCATAAATTTTAATGGGTCTGTCGAGTTAAGATTAATACTATTTAGAAGAGACTTTAGCCATAAAGCTTCTCTTACAGCTTCAAATAGGGCCATATATTCAGCTTCAGTTGATGAAGCTGCCACTGAATTCTGTCTTTTTGTATTCCAACAAATTAAATTGGAATCGAACATTTTAAACAATTAACCCGTTGTACTTTTTCTATCAATCTCATTACTACCCCAATCGGAGTCTACATAGCAAACTAATGTATTTTCAAATGATGTATTCTTTTAAATATAAGCTTCATATCAATAGTTCCCTTTAAATATCTAATAACCTTTTTAAACATTGCCATAACTCAGCATTGTTCTTGCTACTATATCTACTCAAGATATTTACAGCGGTAGCTAAATCTGGTCGTGTACACAGCATTATGTACATAAACAGCCAATAAGGTTACGACATGGAGCATTGCAGTCTTCATCTGAGTTAAGTAACTCATAATTTAGTTTATTTAGTAATGGCAGTACTGACTGAATTGCAACTATCCATGTTAAATTTATTTTAAATTCTTTTTACATATTCAGCTTGACTCAAATATATTTTGTCTTCAAAAATTTCTACTCTGATACCGATAAAATGTTTTATCTCATTTTAAGTCAGTCATTCTAAATCTTTCGCTTAAATAATTTTTGAAATTATTCATTCTATCCATAACCCTTGTCGCTATTACTACATCATCAACATATAATAATACATATATGTTTTTCTTTATGTCACCTCTATCAAGAATATATATGCAACGATCCACGGGAGAGGTTTACAAAATCGAATCCTTTCAATGCTTGCTCAAATACTTGAATGAAACCAGCATCTAGCTGCTTGTTTGAGCCCATTAAATGGCTTTGTTCAGTTTGCATACATGCCCAGCACCGCATAATACGCCCTGAAGGATGGCCGCATATATATCTCCTCACTTAATGTACCATTGAGGAAAGCTTGTTTTAACCATCCATTGATGGACTTTCAAATTAAATTGGACTGCCAATGATAGTACCGAACCTAAAACTGGCAATTCTAAGCAACGGGAGCAAATGTTTCTTCATAGTCACTTGGTATGTTTGAGTAAATCCTCTTGCAACCAGTCTAGCTTTGTATTTTATTGGGACTCCTAGTTCATTATATTTAATGGAAAATACCCATCTACTGTCTACAATATTTTTGTTTTCTGGCTTCTTTATAATTGTCCAGGTGTTATTAATTTCATGGGCATTTAACTCTGTATTTATTGCCTCCTCCCAATCAGATTTATCATTCCTAAAATTTATTTCATCAAAGGAATTTGGAACTTCATCAAACATTATATGGGCATTTAATATAAATTTGTTAAAGCTTTTATCATGTTCTTTATAAGACACCTTCGGCTTAGACTTTAACCTCTCACTTTTCTACTAATTATATTAGTATCCTTATTTTCTTCACGACAATTATCTGGCTGATCAGCTTTTTCACAATCCTTACTCTCATTCGGGATATATAATTCCTTACTATCATTCAGGAAATCAGTTTTTCTTTTCCTACTTTCATTCGGAAAATTCTGCTTTTCGCATTCCTTACTCTCATTCAGGATTTCACATTCCGTACTTTCATTCGGGAAATTAAACTGATCACATTCCTTACTCTCATTCAGGATTCCACATTCCGTACTATCATTCGGGAGATAAAACTGATCACATTCCTTACTCTCATTCAGGATTCCACATTCCGTACTATCATTCGGGAGATAAAACTGATCACATTCCTTACTCTCATTCAGGATTCCACATTCCGTACTATCATTCGGGAAATTAAGCTGATCAGATTCCTTACTCTCATTCAGGAATTCTTGTTGACTTCTTTCCTTACTCTCTTTCGGGAAATCTGTTTCAAATTTTACTTCTCTAGAATAAAGCATATTAGTCTCGTCTACGACAACATCTCTTGCAACAATAACTTTTCCTTTAATGACATCCCACAATTTGAGTCCATTTTGTTCATACCCTATCAAGATAGCTTTGAATGATTTTTCATCAAATTTACCTTTTTTAATTTTGTTGTGCACATACACGGTTGAACCGAACACTCTTAAAAATTTTAAATTGGGCTTTCTATTGTGCCACAGCTCATATGGGGTCATTTTACAATCACCAAGTGCTTTGCTTGGAATTCTGTTGATTAGATATGTTGCAGTTAGCACAGCTTCATCCCAAAAACTTTGTCTAATTTTGCACCATTTACCATAGCACGAGCTTTCTCTGTAATGGTTCTTATCATTCGCTCCGAAACACCATTCAACTGAGGTGTATGGCACTGTCAAATGATAACTTATTCCTTTATTAACGCAGAACTCACGCATTTCATTCGACAAGTATTCTCTACCGTTGTCAATATACAAATTGACAATCTTGAAATTAAAATGAGCCTCGCTCTTTGCTACAAAATCTTTAAATACATTAAATACATCTGATTTATATTTTAACAAATAGGTTACACAATAATGTGTAAATTGATCTACGAAGATCACAAAATAATTTTTATCGTCTAGTGTAACTGGTTTAATGGGGCCACATACATCTGAATGTATTACAAACAAGGGTCGTTTTATATAACTTTTATCTTTAGATTGCTTAAATGGCAACCTAGCCTGTTTCCCATTTAAACATGACTCACAAACTTCATCTGATATTTTTAAATTAACAAGAAGATTACTGTCATTAAATAAATTATTATTATTTATTTCAAGCAATTTTGCATTGCTTATATGCCCCAACCTCTCATGCCATAATCGATAATTATTTTTGTTCCTAGCATCTACACTGTATGCTTGGAATTTGACTACAGGTATATCCAACATACCTGTATGTTTAACAACACTTACTCCATTTTTGATATGGAGACACCACCACAGTCAAACTTAATTGACATCCCTGCCTGTTGCAGACTCTTGACAGACATGAGGTTTCCTGCTGCCTCCTTGCAGTAGAGCACATCCTCCAGTGTGATATTGTGTCCATTGTGCAGCCGCACAATTCCACGCTTAGTGGCATATAAAAACTCGCCTTCTTTGCCACAGCGATTTTAATTGGCTGCTCCAGTTCGATGCAATCGGCGTACAGCGAGTCATCATTGATCAAATGATCCGTTGCACCAGAATCGAGTAAAACCGAGTTCATTATTTATCTGATCACTCTTTTCATTTTCCGCATCATAAATGCGAACCCGTGGCCCGATGCTGCAAGCTGAGCTTGTTTATTATGTTTATAATTTTTTGTTTTGATTTAACCTTATAAACTGGTAACAGTCTTTTTCATGTGCCCTTCTTTGCCACAGTGATGGCATTTAATATTACTTCTAGCTTTTCCCTTAATAATATCTTTTGCCGTGTGTTTCTAGATCCAAACGTTTTACGATTATTAAAATTGTTATTATTTCATACAACTGCCTTCATGACTTTACTACTTGTATCAGTACTTTCATTTCTTAATTTGGTCTCGTAGTCGAACAATTTTTTTTACAAACGCTAATGATAGAGTTTCATCTGACAAAGTTTCGATTGCCGTGATGACACCATTATAGGTTGAAGGTAGAGTCTGCAGCAAATGTGCCACTTTGTCCATCTCATCCATTTTTGCGCCCGCCCCTAACAACTCACTCACTGTTTCATCAAAAGTAACAAAATGACTCGAAAGTGTCATTTCACTTGAGAGTTTGAGTGTTATTAAACGTTTACGTGCAGCTAATTGCGACGCAAGGCTTCTTCAGAATATCACGTGCCGAAATGTCGCCTGCCGCGAAGTTTAGAAATGCGTCGCCTAAATATTGAATTAAAATGCTCTTTGCACATCGCTCTGCCTTTTCCAATTATCATCTACTTCGTTAGGCATTATGTTATCGACTACTTGGAGCACCTCTAATTCAGCAAACAAAGCTCTGATTCTAAATTTCCATATAGAATATTTCTCGCCACAAAAAGGCTTAATATGTTGCTTATTTCTTTCCATTTTCTATGTATGTATATATTATACACACACACACTATAAAAAAAAACTACACAAGAACGCACGCGGAACTAATTTCACAACTATTTGTTATTAATTTAATTTATTTAAATTGGCGTGGACTGGGCCCATAACCTATTGGTAGACTAGCTATGACAATTAGTAAACGGAAGACAGTACCAAGTTATGTTTTTCTTTAAAGATTATTTATGTATTTCTTGATTACTTTTTGCTGCAACACCGGTCCACACACTTGAGATCACAAAAGAAGAGAGAGGGTCGACACTTCAAGTGTGACCAGACTAACTTATAATAATAATACCTAACATATCGATAATATTATTTAATGTTATTATTTGAATGTGGGAATAGGCGTATTCCAACACCTTTTTTAAGGGCTTAGGTCATGCCTGGTACTTGGCAGTGGATATGCAACTATACATAATCTCTCTGCTTCTGCTGATTGCTCTGTATAAATGGGGCAAAAAGGCGGCTGCTGGCATTGTAGTGCTGTTGCTTCTAGTCACGACCTGCCTCTTTGTCACGATGATGGTCAACAATGAATCAATGCTCACGAAGTAAGTCCACGATCTTTCTATTTGCATTTGAAGTTATTAAGCCTCATTTAATTCAGGAATGGAAGTAAAGGAGGTGATGGTTTGGATGTCTATGGATCCACACACACGCATGCGGGTCAATGGCTGACTGGATTTCTCTTCGGGTACTTCTTGCACCTGAATCGTGGAAGGAAGCTCCAGCTAAGCCGCATCCAAGTTTAGGGCTCCTCTAACCATACTCGAGGAGTCTCTCTACTACACGCTTACCCGGGGGCTGGCCCCTAGCGCTGTGTTGGATCATCTTTGCCTGCATGCAGGGCTATGGCGGTCTGGCAGACAGTTTCCTATCCTCGCCATTGTGGCAGCCACTCTCGAGACTCTCCTATTCCGTGTACATCTGGAATATGTTCACTCTGGAAGTAAACAGCAGAATTCTACGGACCAATACATATTTTTCGAACTACAACTTTGTAAGTTTTGTTTTGGATAGTTGAAGGAAACTAGTGGATTATAACAAATGTATAATATTTTATGCTTTGCAGATGCTTAATTTCTGGTCTGTCATTGGGATCACTATTTTGATGTCGTATGTGTTTTATGTTATCATTGAGGCTCCTTTTGGCGGACTCGATAGTCTTCTACGAACCCGGCAGCCACGATCTCCAAGCGAACAAAAGCAGTCGTCAGTAGATGTCCAGCAGGATCAGTTTAATGTCGGAAGGAATCTGGATGAACCTGAAAAGCCTAAGGAAGAAGCCACAACGACTGTTTCAGAATAGTTAAATGTAAGATGCTAATAGTCGTGTTTTGTCTTTCCCATATTTAGATCCAGTATGGTTTTCTTGTATTCAATGACTTTTCGCCGACCAGACATGTTTAAGTTTGCTATTAAGTTAAGACTTTGAAGCCACTTGAGATATTAGATCTAACAAATAACTATTCGACAAGCGCTTTACTCACAAATTCAACTAATAAACGAGGGGGAACGTTGTGAGTTGCTGCGGACACCGCAACTCTACATTTATTCCCGATACTTAGTCAGTATGGCTCTCCTCCGGCAGAGGCCGCTAATACTAAACGACACGACAAAGAGTGCGTGCGAGAGAGACAGAAAATCAGTCAGAGCGTGACGTCGGGCGCTGCGTAGCCACTGCAAATTGATTTCTTGCTTTTGGCTACAAAAATGATCCGATCTGATCCAGATTCAGCGATCTGATAGATATGGTCACTATCCATGATTCTGCGTTTTTAGTTTTCTCGAATGTGCAATATTGTGAATGCAACAGATTTTCGTCCTTTGTGGGGGCGGAAGGAGGTGGGGCGAAATTCTGAAATATAGGTTTTATAGTGAGAAAAATTTGGTTACTCTAGACTTAATTGTCTCTGAGATTTGTGGATACCACAGATTTTTGCCCTTTGGGAGGGCAGAAGTGGGCGGGGCAAAGTTTTGAAATATTTTTGTAGCAGTGACATATCACAGAAGTCTGGATCCAAAATATCGTTGCTATAAACTAGCTGTATATAGGACGGAGACAGACAGGGCTCAATAGATTCGGATATTGATGCTGATCAAGAATATATATACTTTATGGGGTCGGAAACGATTCCTTCTGGACGTTACACACATCCACTTTTACCACAAATCTAATATACCCCAATACTATTTTGAGTAGCGGTTATAAAAATACTCTTCCAAGTAATCTCTTCCATTGTCTATACTATTGTATTCTTTGTTCTACTATAATTATCATGTCAGAACACGATCGGCAACTAAAACCGAAAATAAATTGGTTGATTATTTACATAGAACATATTTTATACGAAATTATACGTAAGCGCCAGAGGTTGTATCGCAGTCGATGACTGCAGTAGGGATTTTCTCCGTTTTGTTTTTTTTGATCTGTTTGCAAAATGAGTATTGGGGTATATTAGATTTTTGGTAAAAGTGGATGTGTGTAACGTCCAGAAGGAATCGTTTCCGACGCCATAAAGTATATATTCTTGATCAGCATCAATAGCCGAGTCGATTGCGCCCTGTCTGTCTGTCCGTCTGTCCGTCCGTCCATCCGTCCGTCCGTCTGTCCGTCCTCTTCAGCGCCTAGTGCTCAAAGACTATAAGAGCTGTGGCGCTACAGACTGTAATCACAAATGGGAATATCAATAGCCGGGGCGAAAGGGCTGCACACGAGTATGTCCACTTCCGGGCCGAGTCTTATGCCGACGCCCCCTTGGCCCCCTTCGCACAGGTAGTCTTGACCCTGTTTACATATCGGGGCTTGCTCGGGTTGCCCGTGTGGCAAGGGATTGAAATCGGAGGCGTACCCCAACCAGCGCCCAAAAGAGCCCTGAAAATGGATGCTTCTACGGATTCGGGATCAGGTAGAAGGGGTCGTGGATCGTGGATGATGACGCTTTGTTGTGTTGTTTTGATCATGAATCAATAAGAGTACAGTGAATATTTAATGATTCATTTGTTGCCGCTTCTGGTGGATTCCGTGCCTCCGAAGTGCGTATGCGGGGGCCTGCAATTGGTGGCAACAAAGGCCCCACGGCTGCCACAATCGCTGCTGCAGCGGAAATGTTTTGCTGCTGCTGCATGCTCTCCTCCTCCGATTATTATTGAATAAATTGCAGAACAAATATGCAGCGAAATAAAAATAATAATAAATGCAATAACGGGGATGAACGATGAGCAATTGGACTCCCGTCCAAACGGAACGGATCGTAATATGCATAAACGATATATCTGATCGACTGGAAACTCTTGTTTGAATTTGACTTTGAATTTCGAATATTTCGGCATATATTTTCATTGCGTCCAAAACGGAGAGACGATTCCGTGCATTACGATTCTGGCATCAACGAAAATAGATGCCCAAATGGAAGTGCAAACATCTCTGAGGGGAGGAGTGGAGTGTCGGGCGTGTGGACGTTTGTCTTCTGTCAGTGTGTGATTGGATACTGCTTGCTGCTTTCTGCTCGATGGCTTCCCCCTAGATCACGAGGTGCAGGCGTATCTGGAACACAGCTCCTCGACGGTCTTCTTCAGGAGCGCCGCCAAAGACAGGATGAATCCCAGGAGGCTGAGGGAGAACAGCCAGGGAGTGGTCATGAGCACGGCAAAGAAGACGAGCGTCTCGTCGCCCGGGCATTGGCCATGCGCCACAAACTGGCGCTGGATGGTGCGCAGCTTGAACTTGCTGTTCCACAATCGGAGGCGCATCGAGCCGACGGTTTCGTTGACGACCAGTCTTCTCGACCAGCCAGAACACCGCGCAGCACAGCATCTGCATCACCAGCAGCACGACCTTGACCACAGCGGTCTCCAAGAGGAGGTGGTACAAGGCCACCATGCGCTGACTGTGCTCCGGCTGCATTGTGGAGAGACGACTGCGCCGAGGGACTCCAGCGGAGAGACCCTGGGGGAAGGGCCGTCGGAGAGCTCCTCCCACTCCGAGTCCGACTCGGTGCGCTCTATCGAGCTGAACTCGCTCTGGCCCTGACAGGAGCACGACTCCTCCTCTTGGTCCTCCTCGGTGGGCATCGAGTAGTCGCCCTCGTAGTCGCCGTCGTAGCGGCCGTCGGAGTACTCTTTGTGCGGGCCGTCGTAGTAGTCTCCGCGGCTGTCCGGAGAAGCGCCGGCTGTCCAGAGGGAGCTCAACACGGGCGGTGGTCCCATCGATGCCATCTGTGGCACAGCATTGAATCTGCAGGGGAGCGGGGGTAAGTTATGTCCTAGGGGGAAGGGGAGTCTGAGCTGCTGCCGCTCACCCATCTGAATCACCCATCGGAGGGAAGGTGGGGGGGTGGGGGGGTGTGCGCGACCTATTGGACCCATTGGGCGCGAAAGCAGAAGACTAGTGTGGATTTGGCCTAGGAAGGGCATCGCATTGAGTCCATTCTTGTCGCCGGAACCTTCGGGGGGGACCTGCAGCTCCGGCTGCTGCTGCTGATGGTCGGTAAAGTCGAAGGATCCCATGGATCCGAAAATACCCGCGAAAGGGTGAATGG